TAATGCACTATAACATTTATTTATGTGCTTATATGCTCTACATTGATTATAATTCATTTTGAATAGTTTTTTCCTACATCTTAACTATTGTGACTAATGTTGCTGTGGACATGAACATACAAATATATGTTTAAAGCAGGACATTGTTAGAGGATCTTCTTGGCTCGGCAGGTCCTGCCGCCCTTCTCAGCCCCAAATAAACACACAGACGCTATATTAATTATAAAACTCTTGGCCAGTGGCTTGGACTTCTTATTGACTAGCTCTGTCTTAGTTATTAACCCATTTCTATTAATCTAAGTATTTCCACATGGACTTATCTTACTGTAGAATGCCTGGAGCATCCTATCCTCCCAGTGGCTACGTGGAGACTCCTCTCTGCTTACACTTCCCAGAATTCTCCTTTTCTGGTAGTCCAGCCTATCCTTCCTGCCTGGCCACTAGCCACACAGTATTTTATTCATCAACCAATAAGAGAAACATAAATGCAGAAGAACTTCCCCCATCAGGACATGGTGACAGCTGCCTGTAATCACAGTACTTGGAGTGCAGAGGCAGGTGGATCATCAAAAGTGTAGGGTCAGTCTAGTGAACAGAGCCTGTTGTAAGCTACCCAGGGCTGCATAGTGAAACCCTGTCCTCAAACCCTATCACAGAGACTTGGTTATGAGTCCCTTTTAGTTCTTTTGGGTATGTACCCAATGTGGGGTTATTGCTGTATCACATGATTACTATGGTATTTTGTTTTTGTAGTGTTGGGAATTGTGTCTGGGGCCTCATACATATTAGGTAAGCACTGTACCACTGACTAACACCTCTAGCTTTGGTAGTTTTTAATTTTTGAGCAACCACCGTTTTCCATCATAGTTGTATCACTTTATATTTCTACCACCAGCAATGCAAATACTTGACATTTCCTATGTATGTGTGTGCACATACATGTGTGTGACTAGTGTGTGAGACTAGTAGTTTTTTTTATTAAAGTAGATTCAATAATCTACCTATTTCCCTATTATTCCTATATCATATCCCCCCTTTTTCTTTTAGAAAGAGATCTTTGAATAGCTCTTTGTGTAGCTCTTTTTTTAATTTTTTTTTTTTTTTAAGGCCAATAACAATTTGTAACCAACCTTGGGGGCACTTGCGTCTTTGGTGAACCTTGAGAAAATCAGGATAATTGTTAGGTCTTGGTGGGATACATGAAGAAATTTACTGCCAAGGTTGATGATCTGAGTTTGAGTTTGATAACTTGAATTTAATCCCCCATGACCTACATGGTGGAAGGAGAGAGCCAATTCCTTCAACACCTGTGCTGTGGCACATGTGTGCCTATATACACTCATGTACACACAACACACACACACACACAAACACACACACACACAAGTAATTACACCTTTCTCCTGTTTAAAGGTAATGAAATTAAATCAGCAAGGGATATAGGCAATGGTTCCGTTAAGAACTAAGCACACATTTTTTACCTGATTTATACTTCCAGTAAGGATGGTACTTCATTATTATTAATTCATTTGTTTATATATATGTTTTTGTGATGCTGGGTATTCAATCCCGAGTCTCATACATGTCAAGCAAAGTGCTTTACTGTTGAGTTTCAAGCCATTTACTTTTAAACTTTCAATCATTAGAATGTATTTAAAATTAGTAATGCCTATTAATTACATGTTACTTTGATAAATTTTGATTTTGTGGCTTCTTTTACTGGCATTATTAGAAAGTCTACAAATCCTGAACAAAGTGAGTATTGCTTTGGTTAGTATATCATCTTGGGTTTTATGCTGAAGCCCCTTAAGTTGTGATCAGAATGTAAAAAGGCTTGCATGTTGAGGCCATCTGTCTGAAAGTTGACAAGAGATCATGGCAGATGGTGAGGTTGAAAGATGGACTTTTTTTTTTTTTTTTTTTTTTTTTGGAGTTTGACATAATGTGTTCACGAAGCTGGAAGAAGAAATCTAAGTTAGATTTGTAACTAACAGAAGACCTTGGAAACAGAAAGGAGTGTGCAGTTGTTGAGCTTGGATAAGCATCATGCATCAGCACACATGGCTGGTTTGTATCCGAGACTCATCAGCATTGCCAAAGATTGCCACTTCTGAAAGCATTTTGTGTCCCTTGATCTTCTTCACACTTTGGAAAGTTTAAAGTCACATATTGAAAATTTGCAAGTAATTTTTACATTAGTCAATACAAAAGAAAAAAATTTTTAAAACATTTAGGAGTGCTTAACCTTTTAAAATTGTAATTGAAATTTTTTTTCTTCTTATGTTTGAAAATTGGGATTTATGTTGTATTTTTCATTTTATATTCATGCAGATTATTCATTGTTTATTTTGGAAACTAACTTTTGTGGGAAATTGAAACTCCCCCCCCCCATTGTTTATCCTGCGTTAGGCAGTGTTTTAGTTGTATTATATGTATTGTCTTATTTAATGAGGTACGTATGCCTTTAATGCTTGGCAGAAAACAAATTAAGGCACAGAAGTATAATGGTAAATTTTTTCAATAAACACTTAGGCACCTTTGGCTTTATTTTAAAGATTTATCATTTAGAAAACGATTCCAGTCTGTGCTGAGCTCTGGTAAGAAGATTCAAAGAGAATATTAAACACAGTTATCCTTGGCTCTGTCACTTTTACTGATGTGGTTAAGTAGTATTTTATTGTTAGCCTCTTAATATAGTGTTCTGAAATAGATTCTGTTAATTTCCTATTTTATTTTATTTTTTTTTTAACTTTACACTCTCCTGTGTGGTCCTGGGATAGTCTAAGCCAGAATTTTGGTAAGCACTCTAATTATAGAGCTACATATCCAGCAGCCTTTTGTTAGTTTCTTTTTATTTGCTTGAATTGCATAATGTCATTCAGAAGCCTGACTTTTAGGAAATATAATACAGTATAAAGTACTGAGTACAAAAATGAAGCAGATAGAGAAAAGCAGATAGAGTTCACAACCATGTTCTGAACTCAGTGAGGTAAAGGATCCCTTGTAGCCAAATCTGCTAACTCAACTTCATTAGTATTTGCTTATGTCTTGTTGGCCAGCATTAAGTCATATGTCATATGTCATATGGTCAGACCATCTGTGAGGTAGGAGAGGAGAGTGTTTCAGTGAACTCATTGCCACCTTCAACTTCTTAAGGAAGAGAAAAATAATAGGGAATAAATTCTGCCTTCGATCTATACATAGAAAATTCATAAAACTTAATGAGTCCAAATCATATTTTATATGGCAAACACACCTTTATTTTCTGTCAGAACTATATTGTATTGTAGTAGATCATAAAGTAATCTAATATTCAACAAACACCTTTACTCTCAGCCATCTCTCTGTCCCAGTTGGTTTTTGAGACAGGGTCTCATGTAGCTCAGGCTGCTCTTGTTATGCCATTATTGATCTTTTTACCTTTACATTTTTTTACCTCTACATTCTTAAGTGTGCATTTGTTTTCTTTCTGAATGCCCTTCTTTTAACCCTAGTGCTTTAAAATCTATATTAAAAATTCAGTAAACTCCACTTTGATTTATTTATTTTTGAGGCAGAATTTCACTGTATAGCTTAGGCTAGCTTGGATCACTGTGTTAACTATTTAGCCTAAATTGGCCTCACACTTGTAATTTCTCCTGCCACAGCTCCTAAATAATGAAACTATAGGTGTGAGCTACTATGGCTAGCAAAGTAATTTTAAAAGAAAAATATGTGACCCTCTCTCCAAAGATCAAATAAACAAAACTGAGAAAAACTACAGAAGGAGAGCAAAGATTATTCCTGAATGCTCTTGACCAGATTCACCAATTATAAACATTTTTATACTTTTTATATTTTTATGTATACTTTTATACTTTTTTATACTTTTTTAATACATTTTTATACTTTTATTTTCACTTCTATATAGTTTTCATTTGAAATGTAGTCCTTGTTATCATGCCACTTGCCTCCTAAAGTATTTTAGTGGTCTTCTTAGGAATCATGTTTATCTGATCTAGTGTTTATTTTTTATTTTTAGATCACACACCTAATTGCGTTTTCCTTTTTTTTTTTTTTTCTTCTAAATATGGATGTTTCTTAGCTTCCTTTGCTTTCTTTGTTTCTTTTCTTTTTCTTTCTCTCTTTCTTTCTTTCTTTTTTTTGACACAAATGATTTTGAGGAATTCAGTTTAGGCCATTATTTTGAAGAATAACGTTCTCTTTGTATTTCTCTAATTTTTTTTTGTTTGTTTTCATGGTTAGGTTTTGCATTTTGGACAGTAATGTCTCAGAAATGATATTATGTCCATCTCAATGCTCTTAGGACACATGATGATTTTTCTAATTATTGGTGGCCATTTGGTAACTTTGATCATTTAAGTAGTGCATGCAAGGTTTCTTCACTGGAAATTTTGAATTAATATATTTTATAAGGAGATATTTCAATATTATGTTAATATCTTGTGCACATTTTTCTCTTTCTTTTTTTTTGTTTGTTTGTTTGTTTGCTTTTTCAGACAGGGTTTCTCTTATAGCTTTGGAGCCTGTCCTGGAACTCACTCTATACCAGGGCTGGTCTTGAACTTACAGAGATACCCCTGCCTCTGCCTCCCTAGTGCTGGAATTACAAGCGTGTGCCACTATCACCTGGCTGCCCTTACATAATTTTTACATGTGTCTGTCAGTGTTTGAACATTTTGTCCTTTGAAACAATAAAATACTCAAGGTTTATCTTGTACCTTTCCCGATTTACCTTGGAATTAGCCCTTTCTCCAGGAATACCTGATGTTTTTTCCATGCATTATCTAAGCAACATAGTATAACTCTACTGGGTCCCTTGAGAGCAGAGCTGACTTGTCAAATTATTTAACTGGCATGGAGGTAAAAATGATACATATTTTCCTAGTGCTGTTCTAAGGATTAATTTGGATAACTCACTTAGAATTACATGTCCCAGTAAATGTGACAAAAATATTGCCTATTATTACATTACTACTCCCTCTTTTTCCCTTTAACAGGATATTTTAAAGAATTGTTGAAGACGAAGGTTTTTATTTTTGTATGTTTTTTAATGGCTATGCAGAATATTAAATAGAATACAGTTTGACATGACGACGAAAAATGTAAGTATTTGTAATTCTTTTAAAAAATACTGTTTTAATTGAGCCTATGCTGCTTTGCTGTACATATTTTCTCACTGTTCTGGTTAATAACATTCAAAGTGTTGCCTGTATTTATAATTTTTTTTGATTGTGTAGTGTGTGAGATAAAGTTAATAGTATAGTACTTTCATAGTTGTTATAGAATTCTTGTAGATTGGTACCAAGCCTTTCTTTTCCAACAGCTGCAAATTGCTGTCTCTAGAGAGTTTCTAACTTGGCTTCTTTTCTGGGGACTGTTACAAATTTGTTTTGGTTGCTAGAGAGTTACTTTTTTTTTTTTTTTCCTGATTTGGTTTGGTTTGGTTTGGTTTTTTGGTTTTTTGAGACAGGGTTTCTCTGTAGCTTTGGAACCTGTCCTGGAACTAGCTCTGTAGACCTGCCTCCACCTGCCTCCACCTCTTGAGTGCTGGGATCAAAGGTGTGCATCACCAACGCCCAGCACGTCTATGCCTTCTTTGACTTATTTTCTTTCTTTTGTGTTTGTTCAGGGAAATGTGTATGCTTTTATGTCTTCTGGTATTCCCTGAAGATCATCTAAACTGTAGATGTGTTGGGAAAGTTCTGTAACTTCTTCCCTCTGTTTAAATTACCACTGTTTATGTCTTTATTGTAAAGATACCATCTTAGTAATTCACAAGTAGGGATTTACTAAGCCTCTAGAAAGATCTGGACCCAAAACCTGGTGTCAGGAACTGGAGCAGTATTCATTTTCATAGCTCATCCCTTTCTGATGTTATTCATCTGCTTCCCTTCTCCCTCCTTTCCCCTGAAGATTTGAGGGCCATGAGCCTCTCAGTCTCTCAGAATCTCTGTATTCTGAGATGTGCAGGAGGTAAAGCAGCAGCCTGATGGATCCTGTCATCACTTCCAATTACAGACACTTTGGGAAAGTGTGTGTGTGTGTATGTGCGCGCATTTCTTATATGAGAATTGTATATGTGTGCATTTCTTATATGAGAATATGTGTGTGTGTGCATTTCTTATGAAACCTGTGTGTGTGCATGTGCATTTCTTATATAGAACTGTGTGTGTGTGTGGTTGTGTGCATTTATATGAGAACAGTGTGTGTGGTTGTGTGTATCTGCGCACATGTACTCTCGAGTACTCATGGTCTGGAAAAATGAAAATCCTATTTTAAAATGTTAATGAGCCAGTTATGGAAGTATATGGCTCTAATCCCAGCTACTCAGGAGCCTGAGGCAGGAGGATGCTGAGTTTGAGGCCAGACTAGCCAGTACTAGCCAGTATAGCAAGACCATGTCTCACACAAAAAACAAAACAAAACAAAAAGAAAAACAGAAAACTAAACCAGTCATCATAGCAAAACTCATTTTAAGGCAAATGTATTTATTAAATGTAGTTGAAAAGTCTGGAGTTCTCTGGCTTTAAATATCTCTAAATTTAGAGGATTAAAGGATGGCATCATATACTTTGTCCCCAACCCCCATCTTTTGGATGTATAGGTGGTGGCATATTGACTTACTTGGGTCCTGTAGTATTAGTTTATAAGAAAATACAGAACTTTTAGCTTTTGCTAATCAGTTTCAATTTCACAGAGGCAGTTTGATTACCCTGCATGACTCACAGATCTAGACAGTGTGTGGAAGGAAATAGGATGCCAAAAAGTATGAGGGCTGGGCCAGGAGCCTTTCATTAATGTTTCTTGCCAGAGGTACACAGGATGTTTCAAGGATCCCTTTTCAAAGAGGATGAGATGAGGTACTGACATATATTCTCTACATCTCATCAAATAGTACTTAGTATCTAATGAATCTTCTTGATCAAAAATTCAGATATATTGTATTTTAAGTTCACCTAGTATACACAATAATAGAGTTTTTTGTTTTTCTCTTTGAGATTGGGGTCTTGGTGTCTAGCCAGGCCAGCCTCTCAAACTGCAACACCATGCCTGTCTTACAAAAGGAATTTTGACAAAGAAACCAAAGTGTACTGTATTTTACTTCTCAGTGAAACTTTTTATATACATTGTATTTTTTTTATTTTTTATTTTTATTATACTCTGCCTGCATGTATCCCTGGAGGCCAGAAGAAGGCACCAGATCTCATTACAGATGGTTGTGAGCTACCATGTGGTTGCTGGGAATTGAACTCAGGACCTCTGGAAGAACAGCCAGTGTTCTTAACCTCTGAGCCATCTCTCCAGCCCCACATTGTATTTTTTAACATAAAATAATGAATACTTTTTCTTATTTTGATACTTCTGCAACATTTTAAGAGGCTAGTTTATGTTACCCATTGTATAGACAATATACCAGTTTTTTTGATAATAGTCATTATGTTTTCTCCATTTTTAAATGTTTCTATTTTTTCCTTTACAAAGTTTTAAACTTTTATTTATTTATGTGTGGGTATATCTGTGTGTGTGGGTGTATCTGTATTGTGAGTAGGTGTGCCCATAGCCACAGGGTGCTTATGCAAATTAGAAGACAACTTTCAGGAATTAGGTCTTCTTCCACCATGGATGCCAGGATTGAACTGTCTCTCTGCCCATATTTGTAATTTGAAATAAGGTCTTATGTAGCTCATGTTTGCATTGAATACTTCTTCTGCATCTCAAATGCTAAGATTATTAATTATCATGCACTACTATGGCATTTTTGCTTAAGAGTTTTGTTTTGAGATAGGCTCTCACTTTGTTTTTTTATACTGGCCTCGAATTCACTATGTAATTCATACTTATGGTGGTCTTCCAGTGTCAGTCTTCCAACTGGTGGGACTACAGGTGTAAGCACCTTCTTTGTTTTTTAAGACAGGATATTGCTGTATCCTAGATCTTGACTAGCCTGTCTTAGAACTCATTTTTCTGCTTCTTCTTAGGGATACTTGACTTTGAACATTTTTGTACCCTTTTGCTCATTTGTCAGATTATTTCCATCAGACAAAAATCAGAAAATTACTGAGTCATATTACTGAATGTGTATGATTTTTTTTCCCAGAGAGGTGGACCTCATGTATATGAGGCAAGCCCTTTACTGCTGAGTTATGTCCTCAGTTCTAAGGTCATATTGCAAAATGGTGTTTTTCTAAAGGCTGTTTATTTTCTTACCAGTAATATTTGAGAGTAGCTTTTCTCTTACGTATGTGCTTACACATGTATATGTTTCCTTTTAAAACAGAATAAAAGGTTTTGAGTACATTGCAAAGGGCAATGAACTCACTGGTAGGAAGAGTATTGTCTATATGTTTTTATTTTGAATCTTAGACACTCTAATCAGTAAAAAGTTGTGTGTCATTTCTTTCTGATTACTAGTTAGGTTAAACTAATATTCTGTGTCATCCACATTTCTGTTTGGAAAAAAATATATATACATTATATATATATAAAACTATTGGCATCTAAATATTAACAAAAGTTAAATATTATTTCACCATAAACAAAGATGCACAATTATCTGATGTAAGTTATTCAAGTCTGTTTGCATATGTACATTTTATAGTGATGATTCCAAAATTACCTTGCTTGTGAAATGTGGACTTATCTTTAAGTATAGATGTTATTTTCTATGTCAGGAATACTAAATATCAGTGCAGTTTGTAATATTCTTATTGAGGAATACAATTTGATTGTTAAAAGTAGACTAAGGATCAGGTGGTAGCAGCTAATGCCTTTAATCCTAGCATTTAGTCAGAGGCAGGTGGATCTCTTCTGAGTTTGAAGCCAGCCTGGTCAACAGAGTGAGTTCCAGGATAGCCAGGGCTACACTGTGCAACTCTGTTTAAAAAAAAACCAAAACCAAAAAACCCCATAAACAAGCTGGTTGTGGTGGCACATGCCAGTAGAATTTGCTGAAAGAGGCAGATCATGAGGTTGAGACAAGCCTGGGCTACACATTTTATTTACAAAAAAACCAAAAATAAATTCAGGTATTTTTATTTAGTACACCTTTAGCGTTTGCTCACAGTTTGTAGTACATCATTAGAGCACCCAGATATTATTCCATATTAATTTATCTTTAAATTTAAATTGGTTTAAGAAAATTTATAGTGAAATACCCAGGTAGAAGAGATTTCTTAGTATCTGATTAGGCAAAAAGCATAGAAATATGAGTTCTTTTTTCTGTTGCTCACTGAAATATTTTTGTTATTTTTTTCTGAGACAGGATTTCACTGGGTAGCTTAGGCTGTCCTGGAACTCACTACCTTTGTTACTCCAAGATCAGCCTTCAAATGCTGGAATCACAGACTTGTCTCACCATGCTCACTTCAGGTCTTTTTTATTGTTAATTAATATTTAAGATTTACTTATTACTGGTTTTGTGTGTGTACACACGCATGTGTGTGTTGTGTGTGTATGCGTGTGAGTACACATGTACATGTAAATGTCTATGGAGACTAGAAGAGGGCACTGGGTCCTCTTGAGTTGCAATTATAGGAGATTGTGAGCCCCATCAACTTTAATGTTAGGAACCAAATCTGATCCTCTGTAAGAGCAATGATCATTTTTGATCACTCTCTCCAACCCCATAATTGTTTATTTGCTAGTTTGTTTGAAACAGGATCTCACTAACCCTGGCCATCCTGGAACTTACTATGTAGACCAGAATGGCCTTGAACTCACAGAGATATGCCCACCAAGCCCTGGGAATAAAGTCTAGTACTACTATACCCCAATCCTTAATTTTATTTAAATGGAATAAGGAAAAAAAACTATTTGTCTAGGTTTTTTTTTTTTTTTTTTTTTTTTTTTTGAGTCAGTGTTTCTCTGTGTAGGCCTGTCTGTCCTAGAACTCACTCTGTACTCTGTAGACCTGTTTGGCCTCAAACTCAGAGATCTACCTGCCTCTGCCTCCAAAGGCAATGTGCCATCACTGCCTGCCTGCATGTTTTTTTGTTTGCTTGTTTTTGGGAGAGTGTCTACAGAGTTCTCGCTATCTGGAACTCACTACAATACCGGGCTGACCTCAGACTCACGAGATCCATCTGCCTCTGCCCACCCCTGGTCACCCCTGCTCCCCAGAGTCCTGGGATTAAAGGCATGCACCACCAGGCCCTGCAGAGACCAGAAGCATTGGATTTCTTGGAGCTTGGCTTACAGATGGTTGCAAGCTGCCTGACATGAGTGCTCCATAGTATACTTCTAACCATTGAAACCATTGAGCCGTCTTTCCAGCCTGGGAAAGAATTTTTATTATTTTCATTTGTTTCTTTTTGTTTTTCTAGTCAGGTTTTCTCTGTATAACAGCTCAGGCTGTCTTGGAACTCACTTTGTAGCTAGCTCAAAGTCACAGAGATCCTTTGCCTCTGTCTGTGTTGAGTGCTGGGACTAAAGGCATGTGCCATCCCTGCCTGGTGAGAGAGAATATTTTAAAATATCTTTAAGTCTTTGAGTCTTTAAAACTACAAAATATGAAAGTAGGATTTAATGTGTACATTATTAAATGGGTTTTGGTAGTATTTTTATGAACTTCAGATTAAAATACCCTTCCAAGATTAAAATTAGGCTGTAATATTGAGACTAGGTTGATCTTTATCTAATTTTTAACTGTACAATGAAGGTATGGGTGTACAGCTGCTTAAAACATTCTTGGATTTGTTTGCTGCTTTATTCTGCATGCAGAAACTGGCATGAAGAGCAGGTGTTTAAACCTAACAGGAACCCAGTAACTGCCGTCTGTACTGTGAATATGCGGCTTTGGTTGAGGTTTTTGGTTTCTTTTTTACTGTTATTTTTGTAAAATGTAAAACAGCACTCCTGAAGTTACTGTATGTATTAAATGATCCTGTATTAAACATGAGATAAATATATTTAAAAGTTGTCTTTGCCATTTTTGCTTCCTTTTCAAAGTAGGACAGAGTAAAATTTTGTCTTCTCTTTGTAGCAGAATTGCTTACAGTGTGATGACAGCACACAGCTCAACAGGTGTTCAGTTGCTTGATTGTTTAATATTGCATTTGTGAGCACTCCAGGAGAGCCTTGATGTGGTTATTTGTTGCTTTTTTTTTTTTTTAATGGCTAACTAAACTTAAATCTCAGTGCAAAGCATCTACATCATTGCATAGAATTGAGAAGCTAGTTTCTAGACATCTTAGTGTCAATTTCTGTCATTAAATAAATGTTTTTAAGGGGCTGGAGAAATGACTCAATGGTTAAGAGCACATGCTGCTCTTCCAGAGGACCCAGGTTCAATTCCTAGTACCTATGTGGCAGCTCACAACTGTCTGTAACACCAAGATCTGACACCCTCTCACAAACATACACTCAGGCATAACACCAATTCATATGTAATGAAAAACAGCAAAAAATGATTTTAGGTGCCATTTATCTATTATGTCAGAATTACTTGGCTGTGTTGAATGACATGTAGAAATATTTAGGTAAAAGGAAACTATACTTAGTAAAGAATTTTAACCACTGAATAATGAAATCATTAGCTCTTAAACTATTAAATTGCAAAGGACCATGTGAGTGCTTATGGAGGATATATAATGTAAAACATTAAGTAGTTAACACAGTCCAGTGTGGGGCTGGAAAGGTGGCTCAGCAGTTAAAGGAACTGGCTGTTCTTCTAGAAGTCTTGGGTTTGAGTTTTAGCACACACACACAGTAGTTTACAACTGTTTGTAATAGTTTCAAAGGATTTAATGGCCTCTTCTGGTCTCTGTGAATACCAGGCGCACGCGCACGCGCACACACATACACATACACACACACACACACACACACACACACACACACACACACACGTATGTTCAGGCAAACTTATACACATAAAATAATAAATTTTTTAAAGTCAACTGCACAGTGTTTCAAAGCTTTGTGTTCTGTAAAAATCTTTTAAGTTCCTGAAGGCCTGATTTGCATCATGGTGAAGTATCTCTCTCTCTCTCTCTCTCTCTCTCTCTCTCTCTCTCTCTCCCTCTCTCTCCCTCTCTCTCCCTCCCTCTCTCTCTTGGTTTTCCAGACAGGATTTCTCTGTAGCTTTGGAGCCTGTCCTGGAACAAACTCAGTAGACCAGGCTGGCTTCAAACTTACAGAGATCTCCCTGCCTCTGCCTCCCAAGTGCTGGGATTAAAGGTGTGCACCGCTCTCTGTTGGCTCACTGCAGTATTGTATTGTATACTTGTAATTTGTCATGAGGATAGTTTTTTTTTTGGGAGGTAGGGGCACTAATGGGATTTGAACTCAGAGGATTGGGCATACAAGGCAAAACTATACCAGCACAGATCAGTTTTAAATTAAATACACTCAGGAACACATACAACCTACCAAAAAAGTAAGGATTTGTTAATTAGTTAGATTGTAGTAGTCATTTAATAATTTAGACGTGTCAAAACATCAAGATAAGGATCAGTAACTTGAGGCCATATAATTAGTTCTATGCCAATAAAACTATTTTAAAGATATTTTTGTAAAGAGGGTTTGAAATATCAAACCACAAATTTATAATATTGAAAGTTTGCATTACAAATTTGTAATGTTATAAGATTACAACTCTTTAGTGTATAAACTATAGTATATAGTAATAATGGATCCATTTATTATAACTTGCTTTGAATTAAGCTTTTTCCCCCTTGAGACAGGGTTTCTCTGTAGATAGGTTGGCCTCGAACTTAGAGATTTACCTAAGTTTTTTTTTTTAAAGTAAAAAAATTTATTATTATGCGTGTATATGATTCTGGGGGGGGGGGGAGATGCCACTGCGTTCTTGTGGAGATGAAGAGGAAATTTTGTGGGACTGACTTCCCCTTTCTTCTTTTTGTGAGTTTGAGTTTGAATTGAGCTAATCAACCTTACTCTGCAAGTACTTTATATCCTAAGCTGTCTTGATGGCCCCTCGTTGCCAAATTTTCAAAATGGAGATTCCTCTAGGCTCTGAAACACATTTTTCAAATTTTGATGGAAATTGGGTATGGTCATGCATTCCTGTAATTTTAGCACTCTTGAGATAGAGACAAGAGGATCAGAAGTTTCATCCTCAGCTATATAGCTTGAGGCCAGCCCGGGGCATGTGAGGCCTTGTATCCAAAGCAAAACACAAGTATTTCTTATGGTACTGCATTTTCATCTGTGACTCCAGATGGCCCTGTATAATACATTCAGTGAAATGCACTATCTGAGGGCAGATTGCTACAGAGAGGTGCTGATACATAGTACTAACTAATGAATGTTAACATAGAGTGAAGTGTGTGTCATGTACTGTACTGCATTACTTATCTCATTGGGTCTCTAGAACAACCAGATTTGTTAAGTACTGGCAGCACATTCTAATTTGTGAGTCTGTAATAATTTGAATGGTGTGACTAGGACACATAACAGTGGTCAGTACACACCCAGGTAAGTGGACTTGAGGCTGCTGTCATTGTGCTTAGCACATTCATGCACTTCTGTGGAAGTGATTAAGAACATCAGAGATTAAGGGCAGCAGGGAGGCTATAGTTGTTCTTATTTTTATAGTGCTAAAGATCCAACCAGGGCATTGTACATGCAGGCAAGTGTTCTGGTGCTGAGCCAAGCCTCGGGCTCTCAGGATGGCAGTGTGATTTATCTGTTGGCAGCTGCCATATTACTTGCCTTCAAAATATTTAAAAAATTTGTGGATTTTGATTTAACTCAAAAGTAACTAAAATTCTTACTTTTCCTATTTCAAACAATATAACATTTTCTTTTAAGTAACATATTCCTATGGATGATATAATTTATTTCTTAAAATTATATATAATACTTGATACAGACCTCTGGTGGAAGATAATGAAGTAGCTTATTAAGTAATGCTATAATACTTCAGATCCTAGTATTAATTTTTTTTAATCCAGGCTGGTTTGACATCCACAAATGCAGAACTGAGGGCCTTTATAGATCAGAATTTCAGTCCAACGAAAGGTAAGGATTATTGAATAAAAAATTAATTTTGTTGCAGTTCTTCTATAAAATATACAATTATAATAATTCCTTTGTGAATAATAGTTACATAGTGTTAGGATGTCATCATATACCAAATGATTCCTAGAATGTCGGTTGTCTCTAGGAAGTAGAAGGTCTTTGTTCTTTGTGTACAGTTTTTTTCTATCTCTTTCTTTAGACATATCAAAGTCCCTTAACCAGTGATCATATTCCAATTGACACTACTAAATCTTTGTTCTGTGTGTGATAGCACATGGCCATAGTCCTAATGCTCAGGGTCAGAGCCAAGATCCCTGCGTTTGAGACCAGTATGGGTTTTATATTGATTTCTAGGGTTATAGAGTGGATTATAGAGTGAATCTTTGTTTCTAAAACAAAACAGGGTAGGAGTTGAAGGGCCCAATGGGCCTCTCTATTCTCATGATATGTAGTTATTGGCTGATAGAGGCTGATACAATAACCAGATCAAACCAAATTAATAAATCCAGATTTAATAAACAGGGCAGTGAAATGGGCCTGGTCTCAAATAGCTGGTAGGCATGGTCCTGGGCATCTCCAGCGGGAGGAACCACTGATGGTTGGCTTTCTGAAATGAAGCAGGGTTTAGGGAGAGAAGAGATGGGGGAAGAGGGATTAAAGTGGAGATTTCACCAGAACATTCCAGGGTATATGGATGCCAGGGGGCTGAGGTGTAGCTTCCTTCAGACCAAGAGGAAGGAAAGCCATTTTCTTAAGTGGTGTAGCTACTGGGAAGGTGTCCATGCTTCTGAAACAACCCTAATGAAAAACTATTGGATCACCAAAATAACCAAAACGAAAACATGAAAGTACAAAGAGCTAGTTGGGGACGGGAGGGGATCAATAGAGGTAGGAGGCACACAGATGTGATTGGAATATATTGTATATATGTACAAATGGTCACAGTGAAATTTGTTATGTATGGTTAATATATGCTAATAAAACATTTAAAAATTAAAAACTGTTCCCCAATTTTCTTACAAGTTGTTTAAATTGTAAGAAAATGCAATGGAAAAAATGTAATATGTGTTTTAATAGATAAATTTTCTAACTAATCCATGACTTACTGGGGCATACTTACTACCAGAAATCTGATTCACCAACATAAGAACTTCCTTGAAAACTGGCAATATCTTCATATATATATATATATATATATATATATATATATATATACATATACATACATATATATATATATATATGGTATCTTGTAGCATGTAGGCATACATGAAATATTTATGGATGAAATGATAGGATATTTGCATCTGGATTCAGAATAATCTACTGTGAAGAGGGTAGAATATACAAGCATTACAGATAAAGCAATATTCTTTATAAGCTGAGTATTTCAGCTGAGCAATGGCTATGTGGGGGTATCACTTTCCCGCTGCTTTGTAAATGCTTGACATTTCCCATTGTAAAGGGTAAGAACAAAATATTTACCATTTATTTTGAGAAAACACCAGCTTCCTTAAAAGATTTTGTCTACTGTATGAGATGTACCTCACGGAGGTACTGAAGTCTGTACTTAGTATAAAAACATCAGGCTTAAATAAAGCTAGTAGTCTATAGGATTCCTCTGCGAGTTTATGTGTTATAAAAGTATTTGAGAAATGCTTTGTTTTGGTGCTTTTTACTCCCCCCCCCCACATGATTTCATCATAGAAAGTAGTAATGTAACATTCATTAAATGCACTAGGGCTAAAAAAAAAAAAAAGGTTGTTAAAGGTCATAGGTGTGGTACCTAAGAGCTGTAGCCACCCCAAACCATGCAGCAAAAGGAACTAGTATCTAGGTACACTTAGAACTTTCAACATATGTTTGGGATCCTCTTCTTTAGTAACATACAACGCACAGGTCTGGGAAAACCCAGAATCTACAGTCTGAATGAAAGGGAAAACAATATAGTAGTGAGGTGGGGTGATGGAGTGGTGTAAACATTTGAAAAATGAGAAAAACACAGCAAATCCTAAAAGGGAATGGTGATTGAAAACATGCCCTTAAAAGTCTCAAGGTAAGGAGAAAATGGGGGTTTAAGCGAGGATGTTGAAATTGGCATGTGAAGGATAAGAACACTAGGTAAAAAAGAAAAAAGGTTTGCCTTGGATGTATGGAAAGCCTAGTACAGTTTAATTACAGAGCAAAGCCTCCTTTGCTTAACTGTATAGAAGTACTGGAAAAGTTAGAGATAGAGAATTATTGAAAAGACAAAATTAGAGAGGTGAGGTCAGGGTTAGAAAAATTTTACTCATTATTAATATTATTTGGCTTTTAAGATGGGTTTTTTCTGACTGTCCTGGAATTCTATGTAAACCAGGCTAGCCTCAAATTCACAGAGATCTGCCTGCCTCTGCCTCTTGAGTGCTGAGATTAAAGGCACGTGCGCCTGTGTGTGTGTGTGTGTGTGTGTGTGTGTGTGTGTGTGTGTCTGTCTGTCTGTCTGTCTGTCTGTCTGTCTTCTTTAGACAACCATATTGTTTAGTTATCATGGGTGTAGCTCCCTTGTCATTTCTAGGAGACACTCTTGGAGCAGATTATTTTCCTCTGTTGATTTATCCAGAGATTCTAGGAACAACTGACCAGCATCATCATGTTCCTACAAATTGTTAAAAGTTAGTTCCCTCTCACAATTGGTGATGAATCCGAACCATCCAATGCATTTGTCTCCATAAGCGTGTGAAATAGTCCACACTATGGGCTTTCACTACTCTCTAAGCTCCCAGGAGAGGCTTCAGTAACTGTAGGTGTTGGCAAATTGGAAAACCTACTCCAGATACTTAAAATATTCATCCTTCTGTTGTTTTAGAACCACTTAATATCTGTATTCTGTAGGTAACAGAACTTATATATAAAGTGACTCTCTCTTTAGAAAGGATTTATTAGAATGACTTAAAGACTGTGGTCCAGTTAATCCAATAATGGCTGCCTGTGAACAGAAGGTCCAAGAATCCAAGAATCCAGTAATTGTTCAGTTCATGAGATTAGATATCTCAGTATGTGCTGGAACCCCAAAGAGTTAGGCTTTAATGCCAGGGAAGGAATGGACTTGTTAGCAAGGGCAAGAGCAAGCAGGCAGAAAACAAAAGCTTCCTTCTTCCACATCTTTTATATAGGCTTCCAGCAGAAGGTGTGGCCCAGATTAGAGGTGAGTCTTTCTACCTCAAAAGATCTGGATTAAAGGTGAGTCCTTCCACCTCAAAAGACCCTGGTTAGAAGTGGGTCTTCTAATAGCCATCACAATCAACGGGTCTGTCTTTGAACTGACACTTTTCCTGCCTCTACCTCCTAAGTGATGAGATTACAGGCATGTGCTTCCATGTCTGGCTTCATTACTTTTTGAAGTATTTTAATTTTTATTTGGGCTACGTGGAGTCTGGTCATGTATGTATGGTTTGGGAGTCAAAGAATGGTCAGTTTATGCACATAAATTGAATAATTCCTTCTGATTTGGTCTCTCCCATTCTCTACCCTCATTCTTCACTGACATCTTTGTCTATACTTCTATTTTCTAGTTCTTTGAGTCAGGGACACTACATTTCATATTAATGTTTAGCACCTTGTAAAACATACAGGTTGGTGCTTTTCTTTCTGGCTAAAAACCATAAAATCTGATGAATTTGTCAACCTGGTTGATAAAGCATGGCTCTGTTGAACATTCTATAACATTTATACAACCAAAAAATAGCCAGGTGTTGATGGCACACACCTTTAATCGAAGTACTCAGGAGGCAGAGGCAGGCAGATCTCTGTGTCACCATCATCCTGCAGTCCTGTTGTAAGAGGCCAGATGTGGCCTCAGTCATACAGATAGTGCAGAGGTCACGAGGCTATTAATCACATCTGTTCCCAACCTTCTGGATGGAAAACAGGTTATACATCTCTTCCATCTAAGACTGAGACAGGGTTTCACTGTGTAGCTTTGGAGCCTATTCTGGCACTCATTTTTGTAGACCAGACTGGCCTCAAACTTGCAGAGATCTCTTGTCAAGTTGACATAAAACTATTTGGCACAATTTACCCTTTGTCAGCTTGACACACAAACACATCACCATTAAGCCACAACCTTTCCTTTCTCATTCATCCTGAAGATCTCACTTTAAAACATAAACAACTTTAAAAGTTCCAGTCTTTACAACTTCAGTTCAATACAAATTCAATCACATTGAAAGTTCAGTCCCTTTAAAATATCTAGTCTTTATAAAAATCCTTTTTTTCTCTTTTTTTTAAGGCAAGGTTTCTCTGTGTAGACAAAGTCTCTCTACTAGGGGCTCCTGTACAAATCAAAATTCAGTTAAACACTTTTTCACTTGAGGGAATCACCAGGGCACAGTCACAATCAGATCAACACAAAGCCAGACTCTCACTAATGTAAGTAAAGTGTCTGATGTCTAGTGTTTACACAACATCTTCTGGTTTCCTCCAAAGCTTCTCCGTTACACCCTCTGCAGCACACATAGTCAGGCAGGCCTTACCCCACTGCTGCTGTTGGTGATCCTATGGTATGGCATCTTCAAATGATGGGATCTTTTGCTGCCAACTGGGCTGCACCTTCACTAATGGCCTCTTCTGCCCTCTCACGGTGCCAAGCCTCAGCAACTTTCCACAAACTCCTTCATGCTTTCAAAGCCAGTATTGTCTTACACCCTGTTTGGAGGATACTTTTAGATGAGTCCTGCCTGCCTTATTTGTCCTGCTTGGAGGGGGAAGCCTGTGGGTTAAAAAATGACAGGTAGAAAAAAAAGTAAAGCTACAAAAGACAGAGACACAGGATAGAGTTGGGAGGCCCCCTGGTGAATACCAGGATCAGCCCCAAGTTTATTATTCAAAACTCTTATATACCCAAATCAAAAGAGGGGGAAGCAAAAGACTTCCTTATAAGAACGAACAAAATGTAAATACCTCCTTGATACCAACCAAATATTCTGTTGTCAGGGCAAGACAGGCATAGCCAGCCACAC